AGTCCGAAAGAAAGATTATAGAGTGAACTAAACTGTCAGCGGAAGTTTGCAGTCAGATAGCACCAACTGAATAATCTCTATTCCAGTTTCATCTGGAGATCTTGCCTTTGATTCTCCAGCTTGCAGGAGCAAAAGCATAAATCCGTCTTATCAGCTCAGTAGGCTTCCATTACCAGCACTAAGGAGACAAAGGACACCAGCAGAGATTCAGATTTTCCTTGGAAACGGTTCCTTGTGCTATATCAGCGTCCCTGACTGAAAACCCAAAGACTAAATGGGAACTTGTCACCATGAACCTGCTCAATAAAGTTTGATCAATTAGAAACCATTCCAGGGGATATTTAAATTGTGGGAGACCAACAGAAACGATGGCCCATCCTGATGTTGGTGAGGTCCGACCAGCCCACAGTACATGGTGACTAACAAGATGAGTCAACACAGTTCTGTGCAAAAGTTTTAGGCAGTTATGAAAAAGCAGTGAATGATTTTACAAATGGAAGGGTTAATCAACAACAAGAATGAGTGAGTGACCTAAAGATGAATCTGAGTCAGATCCATATCTGGGTTGACCTCCCACTACCTCCAGAACAGAACCAGATCTTGTAGCTACACTTGAACAGCTGTTGAAGGAGCTGGGCTGGTAAGCTGTCCAGACATCTGGGAGAACTTCTGTGGAGGTAGGCTTTCTCACATCCTTCTGTCTCTTCATGGTTATCGGGGCTCTGTGGGGGCAGGACTTCTGCTTTATGGTGCTGAATAACTTTGGATGCTTGGGGTTGGAATGTTGATAAAAATAAACTATTATTGGTATTTCTGAAAGCACAGCATTTTCTCACACCTGCCTAAAACATTTGTAGGTTTAACCTCATTCTGTGATTCGGATATTCGTCCAACTCTTTTGACATAGTGATGTCTCAAATAGATGAAAGTATCTGCAGAAAGAACAGAAGACACACTTAACCACTGGTATCTGCCATTAATCAAAGGTAGGATAATGAATCACTTTGTTGTGAATCATTCATATTTGACATCCTGGTGGGAAGAGACCTCTTGACCTCTCTAGATGGGGTTCAGACACAGGAAAGAAGCTGCTGGAAAAACTGATCCCAGTGGCTTCAGTGAGTTAAGTGATGATCAGTACTCCGCGCAGGATGCTGCCGTTCCACAGCTTAATCCTGACTCGCAGGCCATCCGGACCACAGCGCATCGTCACTGGACCTTATCAGTAGTGACTCCGTGCACTCTTCTATTTTACCTTGGGAAACAATTACCTTGCAATTAGGGCTAATGTTTGCTCGATTGCTGCTTTGTTCAGTCAGAAGGTCTTAAACGGGTTTATGGTGCAATTTGGAAGGCCGTTTCATGAGCCTTAAAGCTAACCAGGAGAGTCACTTGATGCTGCTCTTAAAGGGACAGTGTGGCTATTTCAGAATTGTATTGTCTTTAGTGATGGGCGATGTGTTGCAAGGGTTAGCGGGAAAACGTGTTCTACCGACCAACACACATACAAAGATGCCAAATGATCAGCTCCACTTCCTGTACAAGAAGACCAAAACATCTAATTGTTAGTGGAGCTGAATATGATGCAGTTAGTTAGTAAATATTTAACCTAAATGTGCTGAACAGGTTTGATCCTGACCTTATTGTTTAAACGCACAGATCGTAATCTCCTAAATCAGCTGACGAATGTTGCTTTGGAAACCAGTGTTTTCAGATTTAAACTCAAACATCCTGCAAGATGTCTGTGGTATTTCTCAGCACTGATGGAAAGTCCTCTCCCATTTCATTTGTTTGATTTATTCTATCTTTCTGGTTTCAGAACACTGATACTTTCCAAGCTCACGAAGGCTTGTGCCTTCCAGCTGCACCTCACATGTGCTATTAAGTTGTCAGAGTAGCTTCAGCCACTGCTCTCGCTGTAGTTTGAGGCTGGTGCTTACAATGTTCAAGGGGTTCTTACGTCTTGCGTGCAGCATTGTGCATGACATAATGAGAAAAGCTGGAGAGTAGTTCTGATAAATATCTATTTAGGGACATGTTGAAAAGATGAAGGTACAATTACACCTTCAAACATAACTACCGTTGATTCAGAAACCTTAACAACAAATAGAGTTTTCTTTTTGACTATTTGAACAAACGTTTACAGATGTTAAGAGTTTCACTGTCTCCATATAAATCCTGTTTGTGTTTTTTGTCTTTCTGCTTTTCAGTCTGCTTCACACACTTGTGTGTGTCAGGGCCTGTGTGAAGCGTTTAATTGTAGCCAACACATTGCAGTTATTAGCATTACAGGGTAGCTGTGCTGGTGAAAGCCACATGCCTCACATGCTCGGCCTTGGCTTGTGGTGAGATGATGGAGACATCTGAAGGACCATTGCCTCTCAGATCTAAATCAGAAAACATGAACCCTTTTTTACTTTCCTTGTCTCCTTCTCTTGTGAGTTTTGTCCGGCGTTTATCCTCGTTGCCTCGTCTTTTTGATATATCTCAGTTCGTTCTGGTTTTGCAACTTTATTTGTAATTTTTTTTTAATTCTAATCAATGTATGAGTATTTGTTTACAAATTTCATTTTCAGGTGATCTGTTAAAGTTGTGTTCATCATGATGTATTTTTGTCAAACATTTAAGAGTGCGAAATGGAAATGTTCAAGGACTCAACTACTCCGTTTACGGGGCAAAGGCTAGACTTCTCTTCCACCAACGCCTCCGAATGTTAGCTTAACTAAGGTAACTAAATTTGTATAGTACTTATCACAGAAAGAAAAATCACAAAGTGCTTTTTCAAGAACAACAAAACAAACTGGCATAAAAACAAAACAACAAATATCATAAAGATGAAAGATGATTAAATTCAGAAAACATTAAATATTAAGTTTTAAATTAAAGGATGAAGTGATACAAATTATGAAATGATCAGAAATCAAATTACAAAAATATCATAAAACAAATGAAGGATAATTAAAAAGTCATTTTACAGCTAAACAAAATATTTAAAGGCCCAGTGTGTAATATTTGTATCTGTTTACTATCAAATCCTGTGTTTCCAGTTCACAAACTTGTCCTTTCTCACTAATATTTCTAGCCTGGCCTACCAGACTCCACCTCTGTTTAATTCTGCACAGAGAAAGGGTCTTGGAACTCTCCTATTCAATAACCTCACCCCCTCAGAATTATAACCGAGCCAATCAGCGCTGAGTAGCGTACGTCACACACCACAACGCCGAGTTTGTCGAACATGGCGACTGAAGCGGAGTTCGCTGCGGCTCTTTCCTCTGGTCTAAATGACTTGGACACGTCTTTCAAACAACAAGTAGAAGCGCTAAAAGCATCAGAGATGCGCCGAGCTGCCACTGAGGGGAGGGGACCATACCGATAGTCGGAACCCAGCCCCACCAACATGTTATATTTCAGGCCATTTTCAAAAATGCAGCGTTATGTTAAATGCACTGGGTTTTACCCTATTAAATTTAAATTTCATGGTTAAACAGTACATGTTAAAATCTAAGCTCAGCTAGTGCAAGAGCGGCAGTGACCTAAAATACATAAATATAATTTTACTTACCAAAAAATATGAAGTGGCGACTCCTTGGACGCTAAATTAGTGCATTTAATGCCACAGCAAGTCATTTTGTAAATGCCACAGCAAGTCATTTTGTACAACAGTTGCACAAATAATGTCCAAAAAGAATACACAAACACCACAACTAATGTTCTAAGTTGAGAGACTGAAAATCGCGGAACAATTTTCAAGCGAGGCCGAGGCTCAGACTGAGGCCTTTCCCCGGAGCTAGCTCTGTGGTCACGTGGGTCTGATGCTCATTAATTATTCAGAATTTTAGGCATTCAATACACTTAAACAGAAGAGTGACAAAAAAATTCACCCCCCTCAGAGTTGTCATGAGCCTAAACTAGATCTATTAAACCTAAAACATGTTTTGGAACCAGGCTGTAAACATGTTTATTTCTGCTGTGAAATTGGTATTTTTAACATGGGAGTCAGTGACGATTTGCTCGCTTCTGACACCAGCCCCCAGTGGATGAGGGTGGAACTGCAGTTTTTGTCACTTCTGTGTTGGCTTCAATTTCATACCAATATTATGGGGGTTGGTTCAGACACCCGCCCGCTATTAGCTGTTCACCAGCTTCTGATTAGTGTCTCTGACTCCCAAACTCACCTCAAGTTGTTCATTCGTCTTTTCCTAGCACCAGAACTCCCTATCCGGTCCCAACGTGTCCATACCAGAACTCCTGATCCAGTCCCAACGTGTCCGTTCCAATGTCCTTCTACTCAAGTTTCCTCTCTTCCCACAGCCTGCTGTCTCCCCAACACGCTCCAGCGCTCGTCCGCTAGCCAGTGGCTAAAGCAGCATTGTTTACTTTATCTCTATAGGGGTGTAACGGTACTCTAAACTCTTATTCGGTTTGGTTCGGTTCAGTGTTTTGGAGGGCTCGGTTTGATTAATTTTTGGTATATTATCATTGGATTCCCTGCAATGGACTGGCTTTCTGTCCAGGGTGTACCCCGCCTGATTGCCCCAAACCAAAATGGTTCAAATAACCCCCGTGAACCGTTACACCCCTAGATCTCCACAAACACTTTACTAACGGCGATGTAGTTCTCCACGCGTTACAGATGTGCTTCTCCGAGGGCTTCTTCTCAAACCATTTGCTGGTGATCCGTGGGACTTTACGCACAGCATACGCAGCATGTCCCCAGCTCTAGCTATGGCTAACTAGCAGCTAATGACGCCCATCTCCACCACGCCAGCCTTGAGCCACGATTAGCTGGTGGCTAAGTCAGCATTGTTGTCTTGATCTCCACAGCGTGTCCCCAGCTCGCCAACCCTCCTTCACCAGCCATGGCTAACAAGCAGCCAGTGATGGCTCCATATCCATTAGCTGGTAGCAGCAGCCAGTTTGTTTACATCGAGCGCCCCATGAGCTGTGTGAAACAGGTGTTGTGGAAAATTATGTTCACCTGAAATATTCTGTTTCCCTTAGGCAGTTGAGCAAATATTTCCAAATCCACAGAACTTAAAGTCCATTATGAGGACTAAACTTCCTCAAATAAAAGATGGTAAAACTGAGTGAGATTACATCTTTTTACATAACTTTGAAAAATGATAAATAAACTTGACAGAAAAGAGTGAACAAGAATGTTTTTACTGTATCTTTTTTTTATTGTTTTTAGGAGGAAATACAGATAAAAAAATCACAAGCATAACATTATTACATTAGATTACATCATTTTCCGGTAAAAGTTGATCACAAATGTTGTGAAAATAGCCTGAAGTGCAATCTCCTGACACAGGGGGACAGAATATTTTAGGGAAGTAAAATTTCTCACAACACCTGACCTCCCGGCTCCTCCGTGCGTGAATGGTGACAGCTTCAAGATCTAACAGAACTAGCTTGCTTCCTTCAGGATTAGTAGGTTAGTAAAACAGTCATGATTATAAATGCTTTTTAAAGAGGTCAAGTAGCTAGTTGTAAGCTTTGTGTGTGTTAGGCTACACAGGTTGGAAACTGATTATCAAACTCATGAGTGAGCCACCATAGCTGCAATACTTTCTCTGAACTGCACGGCGCTAAAGAGTCGCATTTTTTCATTATGATTTCAATGGATTTCACACATGGGGCCTTTAAAAAGCAGCTTTAAATAAAAGGGTCTTCAACTGCTTTTTAAAGGAGCCAGATCATGCAATTTTAAATCTGTGAGAGCAAAGGTAGGGACATAAAATATTACTGTTGGCACTATTGAAATGCCGTTTTATCTTAAATATGAGTTTTTGTCAACTTGAAGTTATACCTGGAACCCAAAAGGTCTGTTTCAAAGTAGCTCTGCTCACACTTGCGCCGACAAAATGCTGCTACAACAGCGGTTTGTCTCCCGGTGTCGGCAGTAATATACACTGAACAAAAATATAAACTCAACACTTTAGTTTTTGCTCCCATTTAGTTTTTGCTCCCATTTTTAATGAGCTGAACTCAAACGTCTGAAACTTTTTCTACATGCAAAATAGACCCATGACTCTCAAATGTTGTTCTGAAATATGTCTGCATGTGTGTTGGTGAGCACTTTTCCATTATCAACATAATATATCCCACCTCACAGATGGGGCATATCAAGGGGCTTCAGCATGACTAATGTACAGGTGTGCCACGTTTAGTCCCCAATGCAGAAGTAGTTAGTCAGAATATCCACTCTGGTACCAGTGGAGGTTTAAAGCAGTCACTTGTGATATGAAGGAAAAAGTGGATTCACTGAATGACCAGGTTATTCTGTCAATGAATTTTTTTCTTCCCTGATGGCACAGTCATATTCCAAGATGACAATGCCAGGATTCATCAGAGGATCCTGGGTTGGATTTCCTGTGGAACTGGAGGGTTTGAGGTAGAGGGTCCACAAAAATAAACAATCAATGATGAACTAGCGTCTGCCCCGGGGGGCCACAACCAGCTGCCGGCAGAGTCCCAGGGGATACCGGCATGCCTTTGTTATTTCTCGGCTTGATTACTGCAACTCTCTCTATGCAGGGTTGTGTCAGTCAACACTGCGTCGCCTACAGGTTGTGCAGAACAGCGCTGCCAGGTTCCTGACTGGGACCAGGAAACGGGACCACATTAGCCCAGTTCTGGGCTCCCTGCACTGGCTTCCGATTTGCTATCGCTCACAATTCAAAATACTCGTCTTTGTTTATCATTTCTTCCAGAGTGGTGGTCCCCCCTATCTGGCCACTCTCCTGAACAGACACTCCCCATCACGCGCTCTGCGCTCCTCTGACCAAGGCCTGCTCGCTGTCCCTCGGTCTAGGTGTCGTACCCGTGGGGACCGGGCTTTCTCAGTCCTAGCACCGTTACTCTGGAACCAGTTGCCACCCTCAGTTAGGCTGTCCCCTTCTCTGCCAGTCTTTAAGAATCACCTAAAAACACACCTCCTCCGCTTGGCGTTTCCAGAACATGTTTGATTTTGGCCCTCTTTTATGTTGAATCCATTCCACAGTTTTCATTGGTACACTCAATCCATCCACTGAATCCAAATGTGTTTCACACATTTGTATTTTACCGGAATGTTTCTTCTATCTTGTAATTTCCATTTTGTATTTTGTAATTTGTATTTTGTAATTTGAATTTCTTTTATTGTTGATTTATTCAATATAATTACTTACAACTGTACCATGTTCAGCGCTTTGGGCTTCCTGACAGGGTTGCGGAAGGCGCTATATAAATAAAGCTTTGATTGATTGATTGATTGATTGATATCAGCGGCAAGCCCACAGGCCCGCCCGCCGCAGCCTCCCACCCCCAAGTCGGCTGAGCCCGGAACCCTGTGAGTCAGGACCCAGAGGCGACCAGCCCCGCCGGGGACCCAACAGAGCTCAGGGACTCAGATCCCACCAGGCAGCCACTGAGAATAATCAGGCAGCCGCCAAAAATCTTAAACCCCCCTGACCCGGGAGCCGCAAACACTCAGGCAGACCAAGGCACCACACTCCATACAAAGTGTGGCAGGGGGAGAGGAGGCGAAGATGTGTAGCAGTAAAAAAAAAAGTCCCAGGAGAGGGGAGGAGTCAAAGGCCCCACCTGACATATACAGTCATACACAAACACAGTCACACACTCCCTCCCTCATGCTCTCACATACACATACAACCTAAGACTTACAAAAATGCACGCCAGACACTTACTCATGGGTGTAGGGATGGAGATTCACCAATCTGCACTGGTGGTTGGTTCAGAAGACTGAACCACTAGCTTCAGGTTGCATCAGTGATAACTCACGGCTATATTGCAAAGAATATTTCCATGCGTGTCTCTCGTCGGTAAAAACAATGGTTATATCGATTACTTCATAGTTTACCTGTTATGTCTTTGTTTTTTGAGGTGCATTGAACGCATCATCAATCTCTTAGCAGAAACTAGAAGTTTCCCATTGCACAGCCATAGTGGGTCAATTTTAACCGGCGTATGTGCTTTCTGTACTTGCCAAGAAAAAATAACCTTCTTCGTGACACGGTGACTCCGTATTTTTCCGAGCACTTTTAGGATCCGCGCACCTGAAGCTTTGTGTGCGGTAATGTAAGATAATTCCTTATTCTTGTGACATTTGTGCAGAACTTAAAAACTCCAGACTGAGTGACATTTTGCCCTTAACAGTGCTTCAGAGAAGTCCAATACACAGCTGAGATAACCTCACATCTCCAGCGTTCACGTTTCTCTTAAAGGAACAGTAACTTTAGGCTACAGCAGCTCTCACTATAGCCCCTTGTCGATCATTACAATATTTAAAAATTAGCTTTCAGTGTTTCATAATAATTCCTAATAATTATAAGTTGAACTCTACATATATTTTTATTGCTACAACTTTGTTGAAATGAGGTTAGGGTCATCAGATGATGGCTAGGGATGCTAGCTGAAACATGTCAGGTAAAAAACTATCTTTACTAAACTGTGTAAGAAAAGAACAAGAAGATGGAGTAACTCTGCTCACAACAGAATCAGAAGTCATTAAACGTCACTGATTAAGTGCATTTGTTTTCATGCTGAATTTATTGATTAGACTAATAGAGGATCTCATACATCCTTCACAGAGAGGGAAGCATTGTTATGTTTAAAAACCAGATTTGGGCTTGTGAAGTCTTTTTAATGTGTTGAATCGTATCATATCGTGTCGGCGGAGGCTTTTACCATATGGCTAATCGCATCGCTGGAGGTGTATGGAGATACGAATCAAATCCGCCTCGGGTGGAGATTCACATCCCTACTGGACAGTGAAGGGACACGATTTCTAAAACCACCCAGAAACATTTACTTATTTTGAAGCTCAGCAGAGAGAAGTCGTACACCCTCTTTAAGGTCCTGAATCCTTTTATTTGCTTTAGAGAGCAACAAGTCATCATTATGGGGCAGGAGGAGGGGGAGGACGGACATTCAACATAGCTTCAACAGGCTACAGAGACCAACTACTGTGGCTGAGCTGCCTCTGATGGATCCAAAAGATTGTTTTAGTCCAACAAAATCCAGCAATCGGTGACAGAAGTGAACCATGATTTGAAGGAATTAAAGCACTAAAGTGTGGAGCTGAATAAACACGTCTGCAGGCTCTGCAGAACTGAATCACCTGCTTAAGTGTTTGGGTTTGCGGTAATGACTTAAGTTGAGTGAGGTGTAGCTCTTAAGTCATTTTAGATTTTGCATGAAAATTAATCAGAGGGAATTTTCCAGTATGCGGACTAGTACTGGGAGCTGTTTGTGAATGATGCACTCCAACTTCTTTGAAAAAGTTCAAAGCCAACTCTGATGGATATTCAGCAACAACCATTTCTGTGAAATCGTTGCTGATGTCTCGTTTCTCTGTGGGGTTTTGTCAACACACACCTGTGTGCTCTTGTCAACACCTCTGTTTTATGGAGAGGACAGTTTATTTATATATATGTAGCTCGCTGCTAGGATTTCTTTAAAAAATGAAAACATTAAAACAACCAAACTAAATGTTTTCTGTCCCTTCCTTAAAGATCTGCGCTAAACCGCAGCTTCTCGCCTTCAGATAACGAAAGACAAACATCTGTGTAGAGCCAACCTAACGGAAAGTTGAAGGCTCTGCTGGAGCTCCCTGTGGATCTGCTCTGTAACTGGGATTCCTGTAGCCTTGGCTATTCTGGGCCGATATTAAACATAGCTGGTTTGACTTGGGAGCATGGAGGTATTCTTGGCTCAGACGTGTAACATGACGACACCGGCGTTGTTGTGATGCATCCTAAGACTTGTATAATTATACCGATTGCTTTGGTCTTCTTCCTCTGACTTGACCATCAACCCCCTGCTTTTGCAGGTCATGAGAATAATCAAGAGCCTTTAGTGAATATGTAATAATAATAATAATAATGCATTGAACTTTATAGCGCTTTTCTAGACACCCAAAGACGCGTTCACACACTCTCACATTCACACACTGCTAGTGATGGTAAGCTACTTGTAGCCACAGCCGCCCTGGGGAGGTCTGACAGAGGCGAGGCTGCCATTTGGCGCCGTCGGCCCCTCTGACCACCACTAACACAGGCAAGTTGGGTGAAGTGTCTTGCCCAAGGACACAACAGCAGGATACCCCTGGCGGGAGCTGGAATCGAACCCATGACCCTCCGATCATGAGGCAATCCGCTCTCCGATCATGAGGCAATCCGCTCTACCACCTGAGCTACTGCTGCCCCAAATATGTAGCATACCAAAGGACAACAATTTGGTTATTTGCCACTGTAAGGTCAAAGGTCATCACACGGAAGTGTCCAGGCTGTTCGCCCTGCATGTAGTGTTGTGCGACACATCTTAACTGTGTCTACGACCTTTTTGCCAAGAAGGGAAGCCATAATAAACCCTTCTCCTGATTCCCTTTATCCAAGCTGAAACCAAAGGCCTCACGCAGAAGTCGAGACCTCCACTCTCTGAATAAAGTTCATCTTCCTTGAATCATAAATGACTTTACAACTTTACAGGTTGATATAATCACATGTGTTGAATGAACAAGATGTTTAAATCCAAAGTGTTTTAATAATGTGTGCATTATCCCATCAATGATGGGTTAAAATGAAAGTTTCCTGTAATGATTCATGTCAGATCTTAAACTTCTCCAGATCAGTATGTGTTGATTCCAGTAATGTAATCAGTACAAACACAATGATATCATTATTATTTATGTTTAACATTTTACTTCACACTAAGAGAAAACCTCTGAGGATATGAGTGGAGGAGGGATCTCTGAGGTCTTTGGTAATGCCTTTAAACTTGTCAAATTCAGATTTGTCTAAATTTACCAACAATAAAGTTTATAAATACAGGAATCACTTCCTGATTCCTCAGTTATCCTGCGGCCTCCTGGTTTGGCCGACGATGAGCAAGCATTTGGAACCATTCTCTCTTTTGACCTCAGGTCAAAACATCTCTCAGCAACACTTGTGAGTGATATCAGACTCAACGACTCTTAAGAGCCACCGAACACCTCAGACGCTAAACAGATACTCCAGCTTCCTGAAAGTATCTGAGACTAGACGGGCCGTGAAAGTTTCCTACGGGTTCCTTGCCCAGAGGTCCCTCCACCAGCAGTGTCCATCCCGGCCTCTTGACCCCCTGGATCACCACGGGGACCTCCATACAAGGGTATCGTGGACTCGGCACAAATGACGTCAGTTTTATGAATAATCTTAGTTTATCAAACCAGACAGCCAAACTGATTTTACAGCCCAGACATCACAAGATCTCTCAGATACTTACAAGGTTCTGCTAAAACATCTAGCTTACATCATGTATAATCATTTAGTTTAGGAAAATGTAATTAAATTCATTTTTATCAACTATATCCCGACTCTTTCTGGATTAATATGAAGTGTGTGTTCCCTGAATAGTTAAAGAACCAAAAGGAATATTAAGGCTAATGTTCAAAGACCAAAAAGGTTCATATTTCATATTTAGATGGAACATCACATCTTATTGGTCATTTAACAAACAGCCAATCCTCACCGCTACACTTAACGATCAGCAGCAACTTCTTGTCTCTGTTCAGATTAGGGAAAGTATAGTTTCAATTTAGTGTAAGAAGTGAGTCGATCTTAAAGGTGTGGATTACTCTTTAATCAGTACATCTGCAGTGGTCTCTAGAAGGAACGGATGCCTTGCAGGCAGCACTCGGGGCACTAAGCAGCCCACCTGTTTCAGCAGGGCTAAATCTGTGACATCACAGCTGAGCTTCAGACGGCAGAATCTGGAGTCTTACCTCCTGATATGTGGATGTCTTTCCTCTGATTGGCTGACAGCAACACGACTACCACTGACTCTGTGTGCTCTGCAATGTTGATGTTTAATCTCCACAAATAACACAAGCCTAGAGGAGTTCTGCTGTGTGGTGGTGATGCTAATGCTAACCGTTAACTTCTACTAGCCGAGACGTTCTCTGCTGTTTCCTGGACGCTAAACCAACAACAGCCTTCCTCGTCGTGAATCCAGATGGGTGAGTCCATGAATGTTAGTGACAGTGTGATGTAGATCTGTCAGGATTTTCTAATCCTAGAGTTTCACCGTTTGTTTTCTATCAGAAGCTAAAGCAGGAGGTAGGTGTAGGAGACTATTTTCATGTTCAGCCTGCACTTTATGCTCAGAGTGAAAGATTATAATCAGATATGATCATTAAAACAGGGTTTTTCAGTGTTCCACACCTTTAAACTTTAAATTACACGAACCCTCGCTTTAGTTTTTTCTGACATGTTCTCTTTCATGTGATCTCGACGCTTGTGCAGCTTTACAATTACTGACTTGATTTGGAAGCAGTACTTCGATTTATAACATCTGAACTTTGCAAAAATGCTGTTATTAAAAACAATGGGATATTATAAATGACTTAAAAATGAATGTTGTCTGTACTTTGAGTTGAAATCCTGGAGCACACTGTGTGCGTTTCAGGACTGTTGTATTCAAATTCTGTGTTTTTCACTGTCAACGGGAAACTTTGTGTTTCTATTGTGGACTTGTTTACTGGAAAGGAGGTAAAAGATGAGACGGAAAGGTTGTAATGACTAGTTTTCATTTAGATAATTACTCAAAATGTCACACAGTGTTTTGTTCATGGTGGATGATTTCAGTCTCTAATCCCTGCGATCTGCATGGATTCCAGCTGCTCCTCAGTGAGTTTTAGAGTACGGCTCCTTATATTTAGACCGCCTGTGCAAATGTGCACATGCTCTTGTGTGGGGCGCTATAAACAAGTGTTGGACTACAGTCTACATCTGTGCTTTTGAGTATTTGTGTCTGAATATAGCTTTTAGAGCATATTAGTCATTTTAGGGCCTGTTAATCCCATCCGAGTAGCTGGCTCTGTGTAGTCTGCTTCTGTTTGTCTGCTCCAAGCCCCTCTCTAATCGGCTAGCTGAATGTGCTACAGTTTCATTAAGAAGACATTAGAAGCTCATTTTCAGCTGCACTGTGTATGAATCCAGGGACGTTGGAGAGGAGGTAGTCCGAGTCGCCGCGGATGGGCTCGGTTCTTTTCCGCTAAAGGTCCATTGGAGTTGTGGGCAACGGTTCGAGGCAGTTGAGGGGACATTCCAGCTGCAGACAAATCAACAGATAAAAAGTCATCAATTTTAACGACCACCAGTTGGACGGATGTTCCTAGAATGTGCCAGCTGATGTAGAAGAGTGTGGCTCTGTTTACGTCTATCAGTGATGTAGAGGAGATAAGGAGCTATTGGATTACCTCCGTTTATTTTCTCACTCGGTAGGTGTTCGCCTTTCCCTCCCTGGCCTTCAGTCTGCAGGCCTGCTGCTTTGATGTCAGCATGAGTTCACCAGCAACCTGCAGAGGAAAAACAACAATAACAAAGAGTGTTTATCTAGCAGTGGCCTACACACTTCCATTCATCTGCTGTAACTTTGTGAAATTGACCAGTTTTACAAATGTTTTGATTAGAAAGATCAGGCAGTTGTACACAAGAATCATCGCGGTCTTTGAGTCCCGGCTAGCCTTTTCCTTTCATGGGTTAGGGTTTATGTAGAAAGCAAATAGTGTCTCTGTGAAGTCTCGTGGAAGAGAGAGGTTCTGTCTGCTAATATCAGAATAAAGGGATTTAGTTTTAAAGATTTCAGTGCAACTTGCAAAACATACCATACGTGCCGCAGCCTTAAATCAGCCAGCTATGAATACGATTTTCTACTGTTTCCCATTTTCTTAACAGTTAACAGACACGTGACTAGGCTAATGACAGCGTTGGTGTGTTTATTCTGAGATAACTGTTGCATGTCTGCAGCGGTGCAGCTAAGCCCTTCAGACATCTGCAGGGCAACAGGTTGTGTATGTTCTTCCTGTACCAGACAATCCTCCACTGGTGTCCACATACCCTCTGAGCAGGGGGTCTCTTACCTGCCACTCGCACTTCCAAAGCCTGTTTAATTCTTTATTTCTCACATTCTCATATGTGTGTGAATGGGTGAATGACTGATTGTGTTGTAAAGCGCCTTGGGGGGTTCCAGGACTCTAGAAGGCGCTATATCAAATACAGGCCATTTATCTGAAGTTCTCCAACTGTTAGGATCTCCCACCCCCTTGTTTCCTCTCTTATCTCATACTCTCTTATAACTCCTTTCCTTTCTCACTACCAGCAGCTTTGCTCAACAGCTAAGCTGACATGCCTGTAGGGTAAGTGACCCCCTTTCCCTTGTTTTTGTGCCCCTCTATCCTTCCATGCCTTCAACACTGTCCTGTGCACTGCTGTGGCGGTGGAGGGATCGGTTTACCCGGCAGCAGCTGAGGCAGGCATCGTTTGTCCCAGGGCTTCCTTCTGAAAAGGCATTTTCCACCTCTGGAGAATTGCTCACTGCCCATAGTGACACTGAGCACTTAATTACTCTACTTCCAAGTTCGGAAGACTTGTTCTTTAGTGGCAGCTCTTGAACCGGGTGCACTGGGTTGCGCATTCCTTCGGGTACAGATTATAGACAAGGAAACAACCGTATAATCTGCTCGCATGGTTTATTAAAGCTAAACACAACTTTCCATTCATAGATTCACAAACATATAAAATGTGACTGACATTAATCCAAGATCTGCTTTATCCCAGTTGGTTGACTAACTCTCACAGCCGTCAGTATCTTTTCAAAAGGATCTGCTTGTTTATTGCAGCTTAAGTTTGGCTAAATATCTAAAAGCTTTTTGTGTTCACCTAAAGAGAGGAAGCTGTTATTCGTAAAGTAGCACTAGCTCCAGCTAATGTGTTGTAATTGTGAGGTGTCTGCTTTTATAATGCCGTCATTTGGATGTTCCTCTAATATATATTAAGTTTAGGCTGGTTATTTTAGTCGTGTTTTGGCTGACTCCTGGGACACTTAAATGCCAAACACATGTGATTCTCTTTGGTTCTCCTAACCCGTTCGACCGACTTACCTCCCAGTCGGACTGTGAAAAGGTTACAGCGCTGCAGTAACCCCCTAATCAAAGCCATGCTGGGCACCTTTCTTTACAGCTTCTCAGTTTAGATTCACATTGTTGGCCTGTTGTGCCTTTTGTCTGTTACAGGCTGTGTGACTAAACTTCAGAAGATGTTATCACAGTAGGAGTGTGTTGTATGTGTGCATACCCCAAGTTTGCTTCAGTCAGCTGTTTCTGAAATGCATCATTTTTGGTTCAAGCTGAAAAGGGCATTTACAGACAACAGAGAGGTCAAATGTTCTCTGGTACTCTGAGGTCCTCGAGCTTGAAAACCGTCCACACACACACGCACGCACGCACGCGCGCGCGCACACACACACACACACACACACACACACACACACACACACACACACACACACACACACACACACCAAGTAGTGTTTCTATGGTTACATTGTGATTTCTTGGTAAATATTCTATTTGGTGAGAGATGAACTTTATTGTATTTATCCTACTGAATCTATAATTAATTGGGTAAACTAGTAGTAGCACATTCAATGTCAAAGAGAGTAAAAAGTTATTATCAGGAGAGGGAGAATGTTTAAGTGCTTAGCAGCAGTGTGCTAGACGATGGCCCCCTCCATGAGGCCATCACAGCTCAGCAGAACATCATTATAGCTTCTTCTGGGGAGAAAAACACTTAGAGAAAAAATAAAGTTAACAGCTGAAATACCAGGAAATAATACAGTTAAAGAGCAGATTGTAGAAGAAAGTAGTCGAGTGTGGAAAGTGGTCAGTGTGTCCTCCAGCAGTCTAAGCCTATAGTAGCATAACTACAGAGATAACTCTGGATAACCTAGCCTTAGATGGAGGCTTGTTGGAGGTAGGGCAAGGAAGAGCCGTCTTTACCGACTGTACACTCCACCTCCCTCTACTCCCCACTTGTCCAGATCTGGGCTAACATCAGATTTTAACCATAGGCCCTATCAAATAAAAATGTTTTAAGCCTATTCTTAAAAGTAGACAAGGTGTCTTCCTCACGGACTAAAGCTGGGAGTTGGTTCCACAAGAGAGGAGCCTGATAGCTAAAAGATTTGCCTCCCATCCTAGTTTTTAGATATTCTGGGAACCACCAGTAGACCTGCAGTCTGAGAGCGAAGTGCTCGGTTAGGAACGTATGGAACAATCAGATCACTAATGTATGATGGAGCTTGATTATTAAGAGCTTTCTATGTGAAAAGGAGGATCTTAAAATCTATTCTGAATTTAACAGGTAGCCAATGTAGGCAATCTAAGACAGGAGAGATATGATCTCTCTTTTTAATTCTCATCAGAACTCTAGCTGCAGCATTTTGGACAAGCTGAAGACTTTTAACTACATTTTGTGGACTTCCTGAGAGTAATGAATTACAGTAATCCAGTCTTGATGTAATAAATGCACGAACTAGTTTTTCAGCATCACTTCTGGAAAGGACGCTTCTCCGAAGGTGGAAAAAGGAAATCCTACAAACATGTTTAATGTGGGATTTGAATGATATGTCCTGATCGAAGATAACACCAAGGTTCCTTACTTTGTTCTCGGAGATTAATTTAATGCTGTTCAGGTCAGGTGATTGACTAAGCAGTTTCCTTTTCTGAATTTCAGGTCCAAAGATGAGAATTTCAGTCTTGTCTTGATTTAACCCTCTGATGCATGAATTATGAGATCTTCAACCATGATTTTTTAAACAATTTTTTTCATTCATCTTTAGGTGTGAATGAAACAAATTTCAACAAATATTTTTTGTAATATTTTGGTAATTTACAAATAATTTATTACATGTCCATCTCAGTGGACAACGTGCATTCTGAACATGAAATATGGTGGCTTGACTTACTGAATTCCAAATGGAGGGGCTCACTTGCAATAAAGTCTTCAACAGCTATGCTTAATAGCAAAAATAAAGAAATAACAATTTCGAGTACCTGTCCACTGTAGTGACCATTATGCATCAAAAGGTTAAAAGCAGAAAGTTTTGAGTCATCCAATTTTTTGTCTTCAAGACAAGCCTGTAATCTACCTAACCAATTAGGTTCATCAGGGTTAATGGATAGATGTAACTAAGTATCGTCAGCATAACAGTGGAAGTTTATCCCATGCTGTCTAATGATTTTACCAATTGGAAGCATATATATAGTATAAAGAACTGGTCCAAACAATGGTGTTGTTTGCTTGCACTCAGCTTTTTAACACACACAAACACGAGCGTGTCACAGAACACGAAAGATCGACAAGGAAACTGTGTTAAGCTGGTCACTTTTGGTGAAAGGAACCAGACGCCAGAGATAGTGGTAAACAAAAACTTCCACGATGTTGTCAATAAACGATCATGCACCTGTTAGTTTTGTCATAATGTAATCTAAAAGACGTTGCCCACACTTTACACTCACCTAAAAGATTATGGAGACGGGTCAAAATTCTCACGAAGGAAGTAGAAGACTTTACCAAGGACATTAATGCTGTGAATAAGAACATCATGTTCAGCAGGGAGGATGTCCACAACCACCAACTGCCCTTGGACTGTGCTGTGCAAATTGAACAAGATAGAAGTCTCAGCATTGAAGTCTACAGGAAACCAACTCACACAAACCAGTATCTACATTTGGGCTCACATCACCCACTGGAGCACAAAATGTCAGTCATCAGGACTTTACACAATCGGGCTGAGAACATTCCCAGAAAGACTGAAGGAAAACACATGACGAAAGCTCTCCAGAACTGCACATACCCTAACTGGACCTTTGTGAAATCTACAAAGAAGTCTGGAAAAGCATCCAAAGCAGCAACCAGCAAAGAACAGGACAACAGGCACAAAGGCACCATCATCCCATACGTGGCAGGAGTCTCAGAGAAACCTAGAAGAATCATCTCCAAACACAACATCCCAGTAAACTTTAACCCAACAACACCCTCAGACAGAACCTGGTCCACCCTAAAGACAAAACACCCAAACAGAAGCTCAGTGGGGTCGTTTATGCAGTCCAGTGTAGTGAGGACTGTTCAGATGTTTACACCGGGGAAACTAAACAACAATTACACAAGAGCATGGCACAACACAGGAGAGCCACCTCTTCAGGTCAGGACTCTGCAGTCCACCTACACCTGAAGGACAACGTACACATTGTGGACAGAGAAGACAGATGGATTGAGAGAGGAGTAAAAGAAGCTATCTATGTCAAACGTGGAAAGCCCACTTTAAATAGGGGTGGGGCTTAGATTTCACCTTTCCAGTACCTATAATGTAGCATTGGATCTCATTCCTAAGCTGCTTCAGTCTAGATCACACCTTCCTGCGTCTAATCAACACAACCACTCCCTCTCAATAGAGGCCAACGACCATTGGGATGGATAGCATGATAGCATGGAGGGGTACTCAGAGTAGTTTAGGCTCATTAAATAACAACAGGCAGATACAGTTTATAAGCTTGACTCTCCCATGTTCCATTTAGAATTGACAAAGCTCCTCGGATGTGAAGGAAAACGTCCTCAAGAAACCAAAGAAGTCCAGTTGCAATCAATGGAATAGGTTCCTCCTCTATGTTCAACATTTTGGGAGAACTATGCGCATGAGGCAAGGCAACCTAATGCCTTGATATGTGTTGAAGAGGGAGCTTGACCAAGCATCCAAATGAGGAGTGTGTGTGTGTGTGTGTGTGGGGGGGGGGGGTGTTGACAAAACACAAAACCTAACCTATCAGTTTGTGCCTGGTTTAATGGCAGCGTTTTCTCTCACATGCCTGACCCACATCAGGGATCTTGTGGAAGGAGAACGTGAGGATGGAAACTATGGAGAAATTATCCTTTGGAACATTCTGGACAATATTTGTCATTGGTTTAGGTTGTTGCAACAACAAACATACATTTGTATAGAGGAGGCATATTTGTCTTCTCCAGTGAATGAGCATTAGAAACAGAAAAATACATGGTAAATTTAAAATCTGTAATTTGCAATTAGCCAAGATTTAACTATGAAATTCATGCCATTAAACATTTTAGTTTATTGATGTCCTACCTTCTAGACATACATAAAAGTGTTCTTAAATGTCAACATAAGAATAGAAAAGGGACCAAATCACTGCAGATTTTCTGTTAAAAATCCATCAGCTGATTGTACAAATCTTTGCACCAATCTAGTTTGGCTGATTTGTACTTGGTTACGGAGTGTGTAGATAAAAGCACCAGAGTTTTGTGTTGTCTTTCATCTATCTCATCCATTTATCTTTATGAACTCTGTTTTCATCTGTTTAGGATGATCATGACAGTGGCTCTAGCTCCACCAGTCGAAGTGTCTCAGATGGCTCCAAGGCTGCAACCAAGACCCGCCGCCTTCAGCAGGCATCCCCTAGTGACCCAGACCTACCCCCAGGTGAGTGATGGTTCTGGGCCCAGTGAAGCCCCCTGCTTTCAAAATAATCACCAGAGCAAGTCCAGGTTTAAATGTTTTACTGTATAAATCTTAAAATGAACTGGCTTAGTAGTAGCCAGGGCCTAAAGGTGAAGTGTCAGGTAACATCTATGAGATTTTACCAGTCAAGGACATTTTTCCAATGTCCAAACTTCAGGGTAGTTTTACTGGAACTTCCTGGCATGCAAGTGTCTCCACTTCACCTGTCCAACCGAACGAGCCGTTTACTGGGCCATTTTCAGGAACTTTTAGAATGGCCCGGTGGAATAGCTGAGCAGAGGTTTTGGTTTACTCATGCTGATTGGTTTTAACACAGTAGGAAATGACATCAGCTGATGCTCTCCAAAAAAAAACAGCATTAGAAGAGCGGTTTGTGAAGCAGAATGGAAGCACAAGCAGATAAGCACCGATTATGCAGCTTTAAAATCATACCATACCAGTTTATTTAGAAAGCGCATTTAAAAACGGCATGTGAGCTGACCAAAGCGCCTCACAGATGTTACAGTAAATATACATGGCTAACAAGCAGCACAAAGTATAATACTTAAAAATTATTTTAAATGCTTTAGAGTTTTGTCTGGTTTCCTTTATGTCACTCAATGATATTAGCAAAGTAAATATTCCTGGCGGGCCTGATAGCTTTCTGATACCGGGAAAGTGACTCGGTAAATTGCAGACGTGAAATAATTAGCCCGTCTTTTCCAGGAGGTGGATGATGAGAGGGAGTCACTATCAAGAACAGAGAACAATTGAGAAGCTGTGTTAGGAGGAATGTACCTAGAAACACAAGGGGGGGTGCCTCTTAACAGATGACAGCAAACCAGAGATATTGAACACAATTAAAGAATGATAAGAGAAGCCCACAGGGTCGACAGTCAGATCATGTACATTGAGTCCAAATGATAACACAAAGTCCAGGGTGTGAGAACCAGCATGGGTAGGACCATTCACCGTCTACTGAAGGCCAAGAGAATCCAAAACCCCTGGAAAGTCACACACCAATGGTTTTGATGGACAGCAGACATGAATGTTGAAATCGCCCATAACAACAATCTGGTCATATTTAGGTAGGTCTGACAGGAAATCTGCAAACTCCCCAATGAATATACTGCTGTATTTTGGTGGCCTGTAGCAGAGAATAAATAAAATGAAAGAGGCAAAACCAAGTTCAACGAAGGATATCTCAAATTTGGTGTGGGCCACTGGGCAAAGGAGGGGTTTCAATGGAAGAGAGGAGCGATAAATCGTCAACCCACCTGCTTGATGACCGAGGTTCATTCACATTGCGACAGTCCGGCGGGCAGACTTCAACCAACAAATCAGACTCACCCAGAGAATCCCACATGTCAATCATGGAGAACATGCTTAATCTCTGGTCCAGGAAGAAATCCTTTAGAAGAGCTGTTTTACTCTTAATCTAGTGGGCATTCTGTAATCCAGGGGTGGGCAATTATTTTTTCCATGGGGCCACATGAGAAATAGAAAATATTGTGGAGGGCCGCAGGCCAAAAGGCTGAAGTCAATTATGCATAATATTAATGGTATTTCTTTATAAAAAGCAGTAAATACCATTGTTTCTTCAAGCTGGTAAGAGTAGACTATATGTTATAAATGAGCAAAAAGGAAAAAGTGAGGTTGGCTTACAAAAATGTGATTTATTCAAATTTCCCAAGGCAATGGTAAACAAAGTGTGCACATTTGGTTTTTGTTAAACATTTGTGACTTATATTAGTTAACAGTTTCAGTCACATTCACTCCAAAACACATTCTGAGTTTCAAATATTGTTGGAAAGAGGTTCTTAGCATTCTACAGACACACAGTATTGTCTGTAAAATAAAATCACTGAACTGTGATCTTGAGAAAGAGGTTTAAAAAAAGTGTCCCAGTTCACTGCTAGTTGCCTACATTTGTGGTCCAAACACCTTATTTTGTGTTTTTAAGCAATTTTTTTCTTATTCAGTGAGAGAAATCTAGTCTCTGCTGGGCTTTAACGAGTGCATCAAAGTCAGGTTGGATGTCTGAGGTGGAGAAGCGAAGCACAGCTGACAAATGATCATCAGTGAGAGAGGATCTTTACCTGGATTTTGTAAACTTCATCATTGAAAATGTTTGTTCACAAATGTAGGTAGAGCCGAAGAGAACCAACATCTTCTGAGCATGTCTCTTCAGGTTTGGAAAATCCTCCTTAAGAGAAGAGTAGAAATCCAGCAGAGATCCTGAATCTCTGCTTTTGAGTCCCAAACCCTCTTCAGCACTTTCCCCAGGCTGAGCCATCTGACAGCTGTGTGGAGTCCTCCAAAAGAGCCACAAACTGTCTGTGATTCATCGCCCGCGCCCTGATGAAGTTTATTATTTTAGTAACAACATCAGTAACATGGTTGATTTTTAGCACTGACTTGCACAACACATGTTGGTGTATAATACAATGCAAAAACACCTATTTTTGATCTGCATCGATTTCTGTCACTTTATCTTGCATGCGTTTCAAAAGTCCGACATTTTTCCCTGTAAAGCCGGACGTACACTGTGCGACTTTTTCACTCGCAGCACTCAGCTTCAGCTCAAAGTGTACGACTTCCTCGCAGAGCAGATCTCACGAGTCATGTGCTCACACTGTACGACCCAGTTCTCGCATGCGACCTGACTGCTCACACTGTACGTCTGGTAGCAACACGTCGGCCCTAAAAATGTGCTAAAAATAGCAGTTTTTAGTCAACACGTTAGACTTTTTTGTCTTGTTTTGCCTGTTGTTCTTCAGGAGTGCTGCAGGAGGACACACAGGGATTTATGGGGGTTGGATGAGGAAAACGAAATAAAGAAAGTAAATCTGTGTTTTGTGATCAGTTTAATTTGACATGAACACGACAAACACACTTTCTTGACAATCTTTGTGAGTAAAAAAAACGTGTAGAAACAAAAACGAACAGCGTGTGTTATTAGGGAAATAGCGAGCGACAAGCGTTGATGCAGGATTGCGCGCGCATGCGCCGTGAGTGGTTCTGATACTTTTTGGGTCGCAGCTGCTCGCAGCGCCGCTTCAACAGTGCGATACCCTCACGAGGGACGAGCGAAATATTAAACACACCAGAGTGCGACCTCACGACTGCTGATCGGCGGCTGGTCACGTGGTGTTAATCGCCTCTCGTAACCCCCTGTACACTACACGACCGCTCGGCGCAAAACTCGCCCCGATGTCGTGGATTCTCGCACGACTGGAAAATCGGCTCAAAAAAGTGAAAAAGTCGCACAGTGTACGCCCGGCTGTGACAGTCTCTCCCATTTCAATCCCAGAGTGTCCGTACATGCATTTACCTCTAGATCACTCCCTGTCGTTGTCCCTCTCATCGACCGCATTGCTGCCCGCTCCTCTGTGAGCTTGAAGTCCGTTATCCCCGGACAAATACGAGCAGCTGGGCTGTGTCCCGGACATCACAGCTCCCGTCTAATGAGAAAAAGTCAAAACTTGCCACTTCACGTTGCAGCTGAAGCTCCAGGTTCCCCGCAATGTCCTCGATCCTCCTGGTCACGGTTCGCTGTTTTTAGCTATTTTGTGGGATATCACAGAGCTGGTCCTGGTTGCTGCATCCCTGGATGTGTGAAGCTTAGTAAAACAGCCTTGCTGCTTTTGCAACTTTGCTAGCAAAGCTTCGGATGTCCGTGCCCTCTCAGCATCAGACAAGTTCTTGTATTTTTCCGAGTGTTTCTTGTCGTAATGCCGACTCAAATTGTAGTCCTTAAACACGGCAATCTCCTCCCCGCAAACCAAACACACGGTTTTACCTCCGACTTCAGTAAAAAAATACTTAGCAGTCCAATTTTTGTTGAAAATCCTGCATTCGGCATCTTTCTTTTTTTTTTTTTTTTTTTTTTGCATGAGCGGACATTTCTCAGGCTACAATCACCGTGTCAACAGCGGGCACTTGTTGCTATACGTATTGCGTCATTGTGCACGTAAAATACAACTTCAAAATAAAAGCAATGCAGCCTTAGCCCATGCATGAGGTGAAATGAGAAAATACATTTATTTTGTAATTTCCAATTAACCTTACGCGGGCCGGTCAAAGTCAACCAAAGGGCCGGATGTGGCCCGCGGGCCGTAAAATGCCCAGGTCTGCTGTAATCCAATCCGCAAGCATGACGAAGATATCTGCGTGGACAACTGGGCCAGTCGCATCTCGCCAGACCATGATGGATATGTAAGATTCTGCCAATTGTTCCTGCCTGCTCGGCACCGCCGATGGAAATCCCTGCCAACCGGAACCATGATGTCAAACCTGGATGGGCCGTGGCGACCAATCACAAAGTGGCAGATCCTCCGGACAACAGCAGGTAAGCCCCTCCATGGAGCATGTTTCGATTGCTCAAAGCTGAACATGGATTCCCCCACGTTTGCCACGATGGTGGCGCCTTCAACGGCGTTAAGCGAGGCTCTGCGTAGTGAGGAGAAAAGCTAGGACATCCTCAATCTGGCAGCCAAACAATCGTCTGAATGACGGAACGTGGAGCTGAAGTGGTCCAAGTCTTGCTGGAAGGTCAAGAAGTGTCGATCATAAACAATCGTAGATCAGGAAACAGCCAAAAAAAAGGACTAAACAACAGTGAGGCTAGTACACAAAACAGGAGTGATAGATGGCGTTCCACAGCAGTTGGTGCCATCTTGAAAACAGGTATTGGGTCTATTGAAATCACCATTACTAAACTCCCAACACCAAAAAATACAGCAGAATATCCCCACAAAATTTCAGGGGGTCTTACAAAGCACCATAAATGACTTGGCTGTCTTCCGATCTTTGAGCGCCACATTTTACGCCACACAGCTGCTCTCGTGCTCCAAATGGATTAACTTATGATGTACTAAAACAGAATAAAAGTTTTAATGTCATTAATGTTACTGTGGGTGCTTTTTGGCGCTGATTAGTGACATCACTCACTGCCAAAGCAGTACCAGTATGCTGACATC